CTACCAATATTTCGGTTGTTTGATTATACATGTATAATTATTTTCAAAAGCGTGAATTTATTAGTTAGTTGTGAATGTCGTAAGATATTACTTTTTCATCACTTGTTTTCAACTTACGCCTAATTAACGTGACATAACAGAAGATTGGGAAATCGCTAATCTTCCGAAGCTGGTTCACTGTTCCACTGACAGTGCGAGGTGCAGACCAACCGTTTTAACAGGGCAACAATGAGTCTAATTCTCCAACAGAATTTTAGTGCGAACTTTTAAGTATTTTTCGTTGCTTTTGTAAAAACAGAGGGTGTAGGAACCTTATCTTGAAGAAAACACGCTTTGCTGGCTTTATGCTATGAAATTCACTTTATTTTTGGCCTAAGGGTGCCGGTGAGGCGTACGTACTACCGGATACGTCGTAGGCTGGCACATCGGGCAGTGGGCAAAAGAACCGCATTATGGAGTGCGATCTACATGCTATTTTGCACTCGCGGAGAGGCGACGATTTGGCAGATGTGGTGGTGACTCACTTTATCCACTTTCTCCGACTTTCGTTTCCCTCCCAGATTTTGATCGTTGGGTGAATAACCCTTTCTGCACTTGGCGTAACTTTGGTGTTTATAAAGAGAATTTCTTCTTGGTATGGGTTCGTATGTTTCACATGGTCAGCAGTAATTGTCTGGCGTTATTGTCGTGTTAATTCCTATGGCTTCCCAAATAGTCCCTAAACCAATAGTAACATTACGATTAATTGCGTGAAAGTTCTTTTGCTCCGTTTCGAGGCCATTGGACATCCATTGTCCCTTCCTCACTTCCGTAATTTTACCCGAATTTTAGCGTAAACCGAATTAGTAGATCTAAATGTTGTCCCTTTATTCAAATATGCAATATCTTTGTGGCTGATAAGATTGCTCTGAAACATTGACGTTCTTTTGCCACAAAGCGTTGCATTGTACTTCCTTTTCCTGCCCTGTTCAGCATGGCTAATTTGAAAGTGGTTTTCAATCCTGTACCAGTGTAATTGAGTATAGTTGCTTCCGATCGCCTTGCTAATGAATTTTTGCATCCTCTCTCCACCCAGACGGCCAATTCCGAAATCAACCTCTCGCGAATGGTGGAGATTTCAGGTGAAGCCGATGGGGGCGGTGGCACTGGTCCATATCTGCCACCAGTGCTCACGGGAGTACCCTCGGATCTGCAGCAGAATGCACTGGGTGCTCTTCGCATTCATGGTGCGCTGCGCGTGGCCACACAACTGGTAGGCGCGTTGGAGGCCTCTCTGGCAGACCTCACCATCGGTGGCAGCAGCGCTACCGACGCCTCGTCGCGACCCGAGGGCACTGCCTGTACAGCAGCGCAAGACGAGGAGCTGCTTAAGGCCATCGCGGAGGACTCCACCACCTTGTGTTTCGTGAATCGTCACCTCCTGCTCTTTGACCAAGGCCTCGTGATCGCTGACGCTGCTGTTGAAGCCATTTCACGCACCGATGGTGTCACTCGACAGATGCGTTGTCAGTTCAGACACTTTCTCTCCTTCTCACAAATCGCTCTGTTGGTACGCTTTTTCACAATTACACTTCCCTTTATATTGTTAGAGCCTCACTTGCCCAACTGTTTGCTTTGTTAAAGCCCATGGAATGGAATTTGTCTCAAAGTAGACATGATTTTTTCCTCTGTGATGTAGGTAATGTTCTGACTGAGCATTGTGGAGGTGGTCGTTGGCAAGAGGTTTGAAAAAAGTCTCTGCAAGAAATAATGCCTTTAGAGGCTTTTATTCATATTTCAGTGAATGTCTTACGCCAACGCAGTGACTGAATTCAATTATTATAACTGGTGCTCGTGTTTATCTTTTGCCACTGTAGGAGGATATAAGCGTGGCGGGATCGAGACCGACAGAGGAGCAGGTACTGTGGTTCTGCGTCTCAGAGCGGCCGCGGCGTTCAACGACGTCGGCAGTGTGCGGTGGAATGGGTGGCGCAGAGGGCAGTTTGCAGTCGCACCTTTGCCATGTGCTGGCGCCTCATTCTCCCGAGGTTCGCATTCGCTGGCTCTCGGAACTCAATGCCGCATTGGAGCAGGGCAAGCGTTGTTCCGCCATTGTCACCGTTTCTGGCGATGAAGGTAGCTCTCCTGATCCATATCGTTTGCCGTGTCCTTGGTTCTTTGGATTGGTTAGTTATACCTGAGTGATCGTAATAGCATTATCTATTTTTGCTATGTACTTTTTAAGCGGTCGGATATCCTACCTTTTAAAATCCTATTAGCCTTGGTCGTAAGCTCTCTTGTCTTTTCGTCCCTAGCTTCGAGCATGAGTCCGCCTCTCCCGACTAAGGAGAACTCATTGCTTGCCTAGAGGTGGAACATGCAGTCGTTCACAGTGGCCTGTATAATCATTCACCCCTCTCATTTGTACATAAGACCCCGTCTCGACTTTCCATCTCTCAAATAGCCTTTTGTCTGTTCTCTGTTTGCGTGCGTGAGCGTGTGTGCGTGCGTGTTTGGCGATTAACTCACATTCCCCTCTCCCCTCCCCTCATCTCACTGGCTGCTTCTGATTTGTTAGGTGTTTTCGTTCATGTGCGTGTGCACACGCGCTCACGCACATTCAGACAAGCAATCAAGTAAACGAATTTTCAGCGTTACAAACTTCACGTTTCTCTGCCTTCTCTCCTCCCTCGTTACTGTGCATATCTTATAAATATGTTCTAATGTACACTAGCTGATAATACAATGAGGATTTGCCGTCATTGTCTGTTCTCCTTGTTAGTTAGATAAGTCGTTTGTGTTGCTTTTGCTGAGCTACCAATTCAGAATCTTCGCAAAATTTTCCTTACAATTGTTTCCCACGCAGCTTCCGTCTAGTCGTTATAACCATCGATAAATTGGTTCAAATGGCCCCTAAGATTCTCACTTTTGACTTCGTTTATTATGATTTGATTATTTACGAATTCTCGAGCTTTTATTCGTTGCTAGGTTATTTCACATGGCCTATGTAGGTTGCTCTGCTCATAATTCCTGCAACTATGCTGCATGATAGTTAGGTTTCTAAAGGAGAATTTTACGGACCTTCTGTCCACTCTTCCAGTGTGATTACCATTTGCAAGCCAAATGTGAACCTGACAAACGTGGCTAAGTTGTTTTTCATTGCCGTTTTCTGAAGCTGATGACAAATTTAAGGCTGAGATGGCCCATTCAACTTCTTTGTCTTAGGCCCTGCTAGAATTAGCTCCACCAACATTGCAATTTGTACCAATTTGTGCTCTCTGCTTCAATTGCACCCAGTCTACTTCCAGGGCAAACTATTGCTAGCCTTCACATTATTTTCTGTTTATGAAGTTGAGGGTCCGTAACTATCAAGCCTTGTGGTACATTTCTGGCCTTTCGTGATCACTCATTTAGTTTGTAGTGGAAACAAAGGATTCCGACATTCTTTGTAACCAAGTTCTGGAGCTGCCCTTTCTGTACTGCCACCGTTTTGCGGTACTCGTTGTGTCTGCGCTTTCAGGGTTGATTATGGACCCGTAAAAGTTCCAATAGCTTTGAAAAGGCAATTAGGATTTTGATGATCGGAGTCACTGACTGCGATACGGAGTGAATGTCAAGTTCGCAATCAGGGCATACCGTTGATACAACTTATCACTCCGCGCTCCTGTAATTAGCGAGATGTTGAAATAACATGGCGGTTTTGTCTGGCATGGCCACCGACAGACTAGATTGAACGCTGTGCTAGTGTCTCCATATTTTCTTCCCGTATCTGAAATAAACTGCTGTACATTATTTGAAGTGGCACATATACTAGTGTTAAAGGAACTCCGTTTACGGTTCAGTCTCTTATGTTAGCGTTAACTCCTATACTTTTAAATTCAA